GCTGCTGCTGCTGCTGCTGCTGCTGCTGCTGCTGCTGCTGCTGCTGCTGATGCTGCTGCTGCTGCTGCTGCTGCTGCTGCTGCTGCTGCTGCTGCTGCTGCTGCTGCTGCTCACTCCCTCTATCGTTTCTACAATGACTTTCTTGCCCTCCCCTCTCCTGCTTCCTGCTTCCCCTACCCACCTCTTTGTTTTCTCCTTTCCACTTCCCTCCTCCTCCTCCTCCTCCTCTCTTCTTTCTCCTCCTCCTCCTCTCCCCTCCTCTTCTTTCTCCTCCTCCTCTCCCCTCCACTTCTTTCTCCTCCTCTCCCTTCCTCTTCTTCTCTTTCTCGTCTCCTGCTCTTCGTTTCTCATTTACCTCCTCCGCATTGCTCTTTATCATCCAGGGGGACTCAATCGAATCGGATTCAACGAGTATGGAGTGGGCAAGGCGATGAAGAGAATGTGCGTTGAAATGGAAGGATGATGATGGTGGAGATTATGATTGAGATGATTGAGAGTATGGTGGAGATGATTGAGATTATGGTGGAGATGATTGAGATTATGGTGGAGATGATTGAGATTATGATTGAGATTATGATGGAGATGATGATAATGGAGATTATGATTGAGATTATGATGATGATGCTGATGTTGATGATGGAGATGTTGATGATTGAGATGATAGACGAGATGATGGACGAGATGATGATGATGGAGATGATGGAGATGATGATGATGATGATGATGATGATGGAGATGATGATTGAGATGATGATGATGATGATGGTGATTGAGCAGGAGGAGGAAAACCGAGGAGCGCACGATGCCGCAAAAGATGCAGGTCAGTGCGAGGAAAGAAGCTCGTCAGCTCCGCAAGGTAACAAGGCTCCCCTGCTGCTGCTGCCGCCGCTGCCGCTGCCGCTGCCGCTGCCGCTGCCGCTGCCGCTGCCGCTGCCGCTGCCGCTGCCGCTGCCGCTGCCGCTGCTGCTTTTTCTCCCACCCTAGGCTCCTGCATATCTTCAGCTTCCACTCGCCCTCCTTCTCCTCATCCTGCTACTGCAGGCTGGTGTCTCCGAGTCAGACATCTTGGGAACGTTTCACCTCTACGACTCGCCAAGGTAATCATGTCCTCCTCCTCCTCCTCCACCCTCCCCACTACTCTCTCTCCTCTCCTCTATCGACGTCACGCTGGCCGTCAAGTCTTTCCGTCAACTGCTCTAACTCTCATCCTTCTGCCTTGGTAGATCAAATCCGGCTCCACAATCTTCGTGCTGGGCAGGTTGAGAGGAGGGATGCCAGCGAGCGCTCCTCGCATCAAGATGCCTGTGCTCTTTCGCTTCCTTTCATC